AAAAAGTACAACCGACTTATAGGCGAGTATATACGGTAATTAAAATGATCTGAAAATATATTTTTTTTACAGATGTCAAGGTAAAAAAAAAAATACAATATTTCTCTATATTCATAAAAAAATAAAACTTTCAACAGCTCAGCTTTAAAACATAAGAAGCATGGGTTCAATTTTTAACAAGAGGCCCACGGGCCCTATAGGTCACCTGAGCATTCTGCAACAACTTTCCAGTTATTGAATTTGATTCATGTTTTAAGCCAGATGCTATATGGCATTCACAATTTTGAAAGAGGCACAATTGATTATCATAACAATACACTTAGCAGTTGCTTAGCTTGGTTTATTGATTTGAAAATGTCCAATAATAAGTTCATAGGATCGCATTAACAATTTTGAAAGAGGCACAATTGATCATCATAACAATACACTTAGCAGTTGCTTAGCTTGGTTTATTGATTTGAACATGTCCAATGATAAGTTCATAGGATCTTCATGAACGTTTCATGAACATTTCATGAAATCATGAAAAATTCAAGGAAATTCATAAATTATTCATGATCACCTCGCAGGGGTTAAATGAATACACACACGCAAGGTAGGGTAACAAAAATGCATTCCAACTAATCAGTAATATTCAGCAATAATCAGTAGTGCCCCTAACACTGTGAAATAAACCCTGACCCTAGGTCCACACATTGCACAAATTTTAAAAAGACACCCTTAAAATTGCCTATCAAAAAATAAATAAATGTTTTATAAATACAAAGGAGCAGATTTCAAACAATTAATTCATTTTCATTATATAAGTAGAGCCCTACCCCCAACCCTGACCCTGGGGCCTTGAAATTCACAATTCTGCAAGATTAGGGCCCTTGCTCATCATAACTATATAGGTAGTTAATCTGCTTCAAACCCAGATGCAGAGAAGAAAATTTTCAAAGATTTAATGTATTTTCACTATATAATCAATAGAGCCCCCCCCCCCAACACCAGAACTCCTGACCCTGGGACCATAAAATTCACAATTTTGGTAAAAGCACTCTTGCTCATCATAACTATGCACTTAGCTAGTTTATTTAATACCTAGGAGCGGAGAAGTAGATTTTCAAAGAATTCATGTATTTTCTCTATATAATCTATAGAGCCCCGCCCAAACACCAGAACCCCTGACCCTGGGACCATAAATTCACAATTTTTATAGAGGCACTCTTGCTCATCTTAACTATGCACTTAGTTAGTTTATTTAATACCCAGGAGCATAGAAGAAGATTTTCAAAGAATTTGTGTATTTTCACTATATAATCAATAGAACCCCCCCCCCCCTCTCAACACCAGAACTCTTGACCCTGGGGCCATAAAATTCAAAATTTTGGTAGAGGCACTCTTGCTCATCATAACTATGTACTTAGTTAGTTTATCTAATACCCAGGAGCAGAGGAGAAGATTTTCAAATAATTCATGTATTTTCACTACATAATCAATAAAGCCCCGCCCTAACACCAGAACCCCTGACCCTGGGGCCATAAAATTAAAAATTTTTGTAGAGGCACTCTTGCTCATCATAACTATGTACCTAGTTAGTTTATTTAACACCCAGGAGCAGAGAAGAAGATTTTCAAAGAAATAATGCATTTTCACTATATACTTATTTAGCCCGGCCCTAGCACAAGAACCTCTGACCCCAGGGCCATGAATTTCACAATTTTGGTAAAGGACTCAATGCTGAATACAATCATGCAAACAGTTTGACTGCTTAATGTCCAGGAGTAAAGAAGAAGATTTTTAAAGATTTTATTAATTTTAGTGGTTTTGGCCCCACCCCTCAGGCCCCAGGGGGGCAGGGATCATGAAATTCAAAATTTTTGTTCCCCATCACCCATAAATGCTGTATACCAAACTTGGTTGAAATTGCTTCAGTGGTTGCAGAGAAGAAGCTGAAAATGTTCAAAAGTTTACGACCGATTGACGACGTACGACGACGGACAAAAACAGATAGCAATAGGTTACCTGACTCAAGTGACCTAAAAAATACTTAATGAATTTAAAACCTTATATAAATTCTGAAATATTTTTTAAAGAAAGATTTGCATTTACATATTTCTTATCTATACTGAAGAAATTTCAATATGGACAGAGGGTATAGAATGGGCCCGTAAACATGGAAAATGAAAACTCTATAATTTAGTATTTCGAAAATAAGACAAGAATTTAAAAAGTACAACTGCTTTGAAATATATGTAGCACACTAAATTATTAATATACAAAATGATCAGTTGACTTCCGGACAATAATAAGCTAAGTAATGAAGTAAACAATGGAAAATTAGTTTCCATCATCAAACAGCTCCTACTTGTGAGATAAAGGCATATGTCTGAATAGTGGAGACTATAGTCGAGAAGATTTACTAAAAGTTCTTAGCTGATTAAAATTTAACAAAAATAATACCGTTATAAAATTAATCATTTTTATCAAGTAACTGTTTGCTGCAGAAAATATGAACTCTAATTAAACCATGTATCACCTTTTACAAAAATATGTTTCACTTAATGAATATAAAAACTCAAACTTGGTAAAGAACGTTTTTATATTATAGGTATAATTATAATTTAATGTTTTAGTGTTCTAAAACAGGACAAGCCTTTAAGTTAATTGTTAATTCAAAGCAGCTTTGTATATTGAATATAAAATGCTGTATATTTTAAAGACCTGCCTCATGAAAGCTAATCTATATTTTGTATCGCGTAATTTAGAAAGAAAAAGATGTTATTGTTCATGCTAGGCAGAAGGTCAGTGTTTCCCTTTTCCTGTTGACTAACGAACGCCTATTTTCCCTTGCAATCATTTTTTCGTTAACAATCTTTAAACTTTGTTGTGGATGATTGATTATGTATCCTGCTTTTAATTTATTTCAGTGGTAAAGAATAAAAAAAAAAACACTTCGTTTATCAGTTGCAGGGTTTGTAATTATCCAAATATTATACCCTTTTAAGAAAGCCTACAACAGTCAAATTAGAAAATGAAGAAAAAAAAAATAAGTCGTAATAACGACTTCTTATTTCGTTATAACGACTTTTTATCTCGTTATTACGACTTTCTTAAGTCGTAATAACGACTTTCTTAAGTCATAATAACGACTTTTTTATCTCGTTATTACGACTTTCTTAAGTCGTAATAACGACTTTTTTTCTCGTAATAACGACTTTTTTTTCTCGTAATAACGACTTTTTATCTCGTTATTACGACTTTCTTAAGTCGTAATAACGACTTTCTTAAGTCATAATAACGACTTTTTATCTCGTTATAATAACAACTTTTTTTTCTCGTAATAACGACTTTTTTTCTCGTAATAACGACTTTCTTAAGTCGTAATAACGACTTATTATCTCGTTATTACGACTTTTTAAAGTCGTAATAACGACTTTTTATCTCGTTATTACGACTTTTTATCTCGTAATAACGACTTTCTTAAGTCGTATTAACGACTTTTTATTTAGGAAAGAAAACGGAAACGTGCCCGGTATAACGGCGTCGTGTAGCTGAAAACGCGATGATTGTTTAGTTATAAAATTGTCAAAACAGTTGCACCAGAGTTTGACAATTTATTTATGTCAAAAATCTGTAATTATTGACAATATTTGGATTTGTTTTGTTTACACACTTATAATCTAAATCAATATGCCGCTAAATTGAAGACTACGGAAACGTATAACCGCCTCGTGTTGTTGTTTTAGAACGCGTTATTATGACATAAAAATGTTTTCAAATACAATTACTACAAGGTTCGGCGATATAATTATGACAACAATTTCTGATGAATACTACTTTTTAATATGTTTTAGACGACTTATAAGCTTTGATATATGCAAGTTGAATTCCTAAATGTCGCACATAAAATAATGTGTAAACATTATGCCGATAAAAATTAGATATCGCAAACATTAGTGCAATATATTATATATAAGACTTTGCGTAGACGACTTGATTTAATCAAATAGAAAAATTCGACAAAATTCAGCGACTTGCAACATCAGATTTATACATAATTCAACATTTTATCTGTCCAATTTAGGCCCTTAAGAGCAAAAAAGATTTACAAACAAAAGAAGGAGGAAGATCCAATTGATAGAACAAACATGATCTTAAATATAATGAGAGCAGTTGATAAAAATGTACTAGTATACAGGAGATATACTGAATATACATAGATGTATTATATATATGTTATAATATTATAGTCAAAAGCAAGAACCTGGGGGAAAAGTACATATATGCAAATCAAAATATCCTCAATTAAGGAAGATTACCAAGGAATCTTGTAAGTGATCTATAGAAGGATGTCATGGTCTTAATTTGTCATGCGCCAATAAAACTGATTATCATAAGAAAGAGACTGATTTTTTTTTTTTTTTTGCATTTAATTTTTCAAATATTTAAAAGTTCAAGTTCAAGTCTTTTTACATTAAGATGAGGACCATACAGGGATAAAATGAATTTCATCCTTAATATGTAGTGTTTCACTGAATTGATGTCTGATTTAAATAAAATAATTCAAATAGTTATAGAACATCTTGCAGGCTCTTCCCTAAATAATATATCTTATGAATGTTGCTTCAAAGGACAGTCATTATATTTGGTAATACTTGTCCACTATTCAATGCAGACTATGATAACGATATCTTTAATCATGTTCTTAGCTTGGAGAACATATGCATACATATAAGCATTTAATATTTTCGTCTGATGTAAATATGCATTAAATATTACAGTTACTTCACGTCTCCACATACTCTGTATTTAACAATTATGTGTTGACTGATAAAATGAATGAAATAATTTGCATTTTGTCCCCTTTCTTTTTCTCATTAGTTAGTGCTGTCACGGACACAAATTTTCCTCCAATCATGTTATGAATCATTTAATAAATTCAGATTTATGTTATTATTTATACAATCAAATACATTTTATGAATTTGCTCTTTGGGTATACATGTATTTTAATACCAATTCTACGTAAATATCAAAAAGACGTGGCCACGCGATGTCTTCGATTCAGCTAATTTTTTTCTTACTGAAACTTCAATGAATGAAAAGATTGACTATATGAAAGAAAGCATGGTAGTTTATCCGGTTGCCATGGAAACGGGACTAGAAGGTGTAAATTATAGTGGATATTGCTATTTATCAATAATATCAAAAAAATATTTACTAGACAAAGCTGTTTATATTCATATTTTTTTATATCCTTCATGACAATCAAAACTATGTAAAAAATAGCCAAGGTCACAAAAATTTTACAATTTCTAATTTTCTGATGCCCAAAAAGTGAATAATTAGTCCTCGTTACCTCCCTTGTTAGACTTAATATTTAAAGACTTTGACAAGTGATGTAAAAATTCTAGTAGGGAGATTTAGATTCAAGAAATGTTATTTTGCAAATATCATTTAAAACATTTATGGGTAAATGAAAAATAAACATTTTATTACACTATAAAGTTGGTCTAAATCTGCTTTTTCTCTATCCGAGTTATTTCCCTTGTTGGAGCTCTTCGGCATTGAAGAATACAAAATGTGTAAATTGTAAACAAGATGGCAGACAATGAAATCTGCAGTTTTTCTTCTTGTTTTGAAACATCTTGTTCAGGAAAATTCTACCTCAAGAGACTCAGAATTTGATGAAAAACAGTTGACAAAGTTGGGATAATCTTTAAGAAAAGCCAAAGGGTTGATCTGGACATGATGAGTATTACACGTATAGCTACTCGTAGAAAAGAAAATATGAGGAAATCAGGGTGGTATGGGGGCGAAGGCCGAGAGGATTTTAGCTGTTCCCTTCAAGATGTCTTTGAAATAGAGATAGAGAGATAAATGTAGTGGTGTGGTAGTCCCCGACCGATCCCGATTACAATGTGTAAGTATTTTTTTTATTCATAATTCTATTCAGGTGTCACATGTACCTGCATGGTAACTGATAATCCGAGATTCCTCTGACTCTAACCCCCGCTTTTATATTGTGACTTGTGCGCAGAAGTCACAATATAAAAGCAGGGGTTAGAGTCAGAGGAATCTCGGATTAGGTAACTGACTGTATAATGAAATATAAGACAATAAAAACAAACAAAACCATGAAAACTTGGATGCACAGTTGCACATATTACATGTAAATGACATTGAATCAAATACTACTGTGCAATATATGTGCCCGTTTTGGGTACTGGTATTCTATTTTCTATAAAATTCAGTATATTTGAAGAAAATTGTTTGTATGAATTTATTTTTCCAAATGATAATATATGCTTGTGTCCAATCTATTTTTACAAACAGGATTTGTAGAAATCATACCTCGGAAATATTAAACCTTTGACTTCTGACAATGATAACTGAATAGTGTGTTAGATTTTTTGAAATTTTAAGCAATATCAGGACTGTAGAATATTTCAAAGAATTGATTAAAAAAGTGTAAGTGTAAAATTATGAAAGTACATGCAGACACACAGATTTACAGATACTAATAGTGTTCCAGATCTAAGTACATATACTTTGTCATACTATTGTGAAATCATTTTTGGGACCTTGATACAATGAATTTATTTGCTCTGCAAGGTGATGTATTGTAAAGTAGGTAAAGAAATCTATCCAAGGGTGTTAGAATATGGCAACTCCATTTGTACTTTCCAAGATGCAGCTTTCTGTCTCATAATTTTATTTTACTGATCACTGTTTTTCAGCTATATATTGCAGGCATATCAATCTTGCACACAAAAATATGAATAGTTTTAGTTTGACAATATTGATCTGTACAGATGAGATCATTCTGATGCTTTACATGTCAAGGACATATTGTACAAATTAAAAATAGTCGCATTAAAGAACAAAATAAATTATACCACATTACGTTAGTATCTATAAAACATGTATGTTTTTATTACAATTAATTTATGATATAAATACATTTCATTTTCCACTTTAGAAATTAATTGTTGTCAAATTCATTTCTACTCTTAGTCTCTATATCTCTGGCGATTTGTCCAAACTGCAGAAAAGCTTTATATGTAAAATGAAAAAAAAAATGCTTGATGACAACATTAAACCAACTCCTTTATCAATCATTCCTCTTGATTCAGAAAATTTTCAGGATAACATGACTGTCAATATTAGGTACATGTAATATATATATGATGTTCAGGATTTTGACCCAAACTTTCAAATTAAATTTTAAATTGATCATTGCAGCCCTTGCAAGATTTTCCTAATGAAGATTCTCAGGATTACAGATCCTCTAGCAAGGAGACCAAACAGGTACATGTATTGTGTATTAAGTTGCATGGATTCATGGTGACTTAAGACATGATTGCCACAACAATGCATAAAGGGAGATAATAATGTTTATAGGTTGAAAATGTATATGTTTTATCATCTTCCCAAGTCAAGAATTTCTAATCCGCTCCGCTCCACATAAACCCTTGACCGAATAGGCAAAGTTTGACGGGGTTAGAAATGCGTTCTCTGAATGGCCTCATGCAAGTTTGTATGAACCAATCAAAATCATTGTTTTATTTAAACTTAAACTAAATTGTAAACAGAAAAACTAGCCAGTTTTAGTCCCAAGGATAACGTCATTATCATTAAATAGCCCATTAAAGGTTTGACTCAGATTTGTAGTTGAATTATATCGAATTTATTTCAAACTTCCAATATTATCTAGAATTCTCTGTTGAATTCGTTTACTCCGATTGGCCAATAGCAGAGGTCAGTAGAGTTCAAAATGTGTATATCGCACTAGATGGCGTGACAGTAAACCCCGTCAAACTTTGCCTATTCGGTCAAGGGTTTATGTGGAGCGGAGCAGATCAGAAACTCTTGACTTGGGAAGATGATGTTTTATATATATCAAAATTTTAAGATTCCAGTTTTAAGTTTTTGAAACAATTTTTAAATGAATTTTTATCCAAAATTTTTATCAAAACCAAAAATTAATGTTATTTTTTTTATTTTCATGTGAACAGATAGAAATGACCAGAGCAGAGGACATACAACCCCCCCCCCCCAAAAAAAAAAAAAAAAAATTCACAGTGGACTGGAAGTAAAATTTACATAAAAAATACAAAGTAGGAAAAATAACAGAAAGAAAAGAGGATCCAGTAAAAGTTGTCACTGGTGCAAGATGGACATAGAGAGGGTTTTCTAATGATCATTACTAAAATCCACAGCAAATTAATATTGCAAGGCTGAGCTACTTTTCAAACTTACACAAAAGGACATAAAGAAATGTGAATTCAAGGAAACCAAGCTGACATCAAATGAGAGAATATGAAGGAACAAATTTTAGCAAATTTTTTTTTTAAGCAGGGCATCTGTTTTCCTTAGAGAATATGTGTAAATTGATTTCTTGTATTTTCAAAAAATGTCACTGTTTAAGTGAAGCATACATTCCAATTAATGTCTTGTTTATTTTTTTTCTATAAAAGCAGTTTTATGCAAAGAAGCAGTTTCTTCCCTTTTTATATCCCCTCTCTGCAGGAGAGGAGGTATACTGATTTATTATATACTGCCACATGGGCTCACAAATTTAGAGTTTTATATTGGCAGGCTTCACACAGTATGTCTTGTATGATTAGAATATATATGAATACATTTTAACAAAACTGAGAACAAGATTAATTGTGAAACACTGATTCCCCCATACATTGCAGCTCAAGACTCCCACGAGGTATCCCAAGAAAGTTCTTGCCACAAGTAAAACACCTGTGAAATATGAAAATCTAGTCCAACTTCAAAAGTTGTGGTTAAGGTTAAAGTTTTTTTAAGTCGGTCAATGTCTAAGGTCAAGGTCAAATGGTTAAAAATATTTATACCCATTAAAAGAACATAGTATACATGTAACTGATCATCTGAATATGCTGATAAGCAATGTGGTAATAAAAATTAATTCCACAATATTTAGCATATAAGGCCATTTAAACAAATTTGGCTGCCTTCCCCCAACAGACTAACTAAAATTCAAAACTTTTTTTTACATTGCAAGACAGGATGGTTTTTTTTATCCATCTTATCTCGTCAACAAATATTATGAAATTTTCTGGGAAAAAGATTTTACAACCTACCTAATGAGGCGACTTAATAATTTTACCCTGAGTTGGGAGAGGGCAAACAAACATTATAATCAAGATGGTCTTGCCAACTTGTTTTGACATTATATTGTCTGACGTACTTTCATATTTTCATAAAATACTTTCATATCATTTATTAAATATGAGTTTGCCTTTTTACTTCAATTATACATTTTAAAAAATTAACCATAAAACAATTGTTTTGAATTTGAACATATTTTAGTGAATAAATCAAAAGGATTGGACACAATTATAGGCCATTAAAAGATTTGTTTCCATGGCAACATATTAATTTACCTGTCACTGAGTTAATTTCAGAAGTTCTATTTAATTCAATATTGAAAAGAAATTTAAATACTTGACATATATTCATACTAGATAACAATTTGTTCAGTTTGGTAAAACATGTTCTTAAATGATGATCTCTGTTATTTGTGATTAATGGAGGGGGGGGGGGGGGTCATTCATGCAATAATTTCTAGAAAGCTGTACATTTACCCATTAATTTATTAATTTTTTTTATTCTCACAAAACATTAGAATATAAAGTTTATTTAATGATACATGGTTACAAATATATCAGTTGTCAAAATGGTGAACAATTTCATTGAATGTGACTATGACTAAAAAAATCAATTTTGGCAAATTGCCAATTTTCATGCAATAATTTCTATAAAGTGTTTGATTTACCCATTAATTTTTTTTATTCTCATAAAATCTTAGAATATATAGTTTATTTAATGATACATGGTTACAAATATATCAGTTGTCAAAATGGTGAACAATTTCATTGAATATGACTAAAAAAATCAATTTTGGCAAATTGCCAATTTTCATGCAATAATTTCTAGAAAGTTTTTGATTTACCCATTAGTCTTTTTTATTCTCATAAAACCTTAGAATATATAGTTTATTTAATGATACATGGTTACAAATATATCAGTTGTCAAAATGGTAAAAAATTTCATTGAATATGACTAAAAAAGACAAATTTGGCAAATTGCCAATTTGCTAACAGCCTTAATACTGCAATGAAAATTCACTTAATCTTCATTCAAATATCTTTGAATGAAATTAATTTCTCAGATTTTAGTTATATGAGCTCACATAATATAATTTTCATGTGAATTTTTACTAATTAATTGAATGTGCACAAATCTAATTAAAAATAGAGCAAAATTTGCTTAATCAGAGGGTTCTTAATATAACATCCCTGTTACCATGGCAACCAAATTGAAAAGTTAGACTTTAACATCATATTTATTAAAGACATACCAATTGTAGTAAATGTTGTGAATTTCAGCTAAATCGGAGATATGTCATGTCCACGACCCTATTTAAAATTTTGATTTTTATAGAGAATTGATATTAAAAAGCATATACATAAAGAATTATAACACTGTAAAAACTTCAAATTTCTTTTTGTTTAATCTGAAATTTTAGATTATTTTTAAGAATCATATATTCTTTTTATTTTTTTAAATAATCAATTTCGGAGAATAAAAATCCGGCACGTAGCCACTGTTTTCAAAGAGTGTCCCGAGTCCAAAGAAAAGCACACACTCAGAAAAAGAGGAAAGTGTTGTCTACATATGCACTACTGGCCTGCAATTAGTGCTATAAAAATTTGAATTATTGTATTTAAATTAGACATCAATGCAATGCAATACGAATAAATCTGATGTTACAAGTCATTCGCATTTTGCTGAATTTCCTCTTTGTTTAAATCTAGTCGTCTACGCTAAGTCTTCATACATGTTATATCGCATTAATGTCTGCGATATCTAATTTTAGCGGATTAATTTTTACACATTTTTTTATGTGCGACATTTAGGAATTCAACTTGGATATATCAAAGTGTAAAAGTCGTCTAAAACAAATCAGAAAAGTATTATCCATCAGACATTGTTGTCATAATTATATCGCCCAACATTGAAGCAATTGTATTTAACAATATTTTTATGTCATAATATCGCGTTCTAAAACAACAACACGAGGCGGTTATACGTTTCCGTAGAAGACACTAGTGTTGCACATGGCAGAAATCATTTCAAAATATCATATAAGATACATAAGCGCGTGACGAAAGCAAACTAAAAAGGGGGGCTAAACCAACAAAAAGGTTTTAGGGGCTACTCAGTAAGCCCCAATTATCAATGCCTATGTAGACTATATTATGTATTTCTTTGCAAACAAGGGGTTTAAATTGTTGTTTAAATGTACTTTTACATTCCTCGTTCACAGACAAAAACTTTCAAAATATCAACGTGAAAGTCTATGCTACATATAACAAAATTACCATATATTGGCAACTTCTTTCCATACCAGATTTAAATTTAACTACCACCACACCCTTATTTGGCTATATTGCAACAAAAAATGTTTGGGGGGGGGGGAGGCAATGAACTTCAATAAACTTTTTCATCAGCAGAAAAGTTATGTTTGAGAAAATAATGGGGAACCCTCCACCCCCGCCCTGCAATGTTAACTTACCTGATAAGCAGATGATACTCATTTTATTTTGTCTGTTTGATGTATAAAATTTAATCAACTTCACGAGGCGGTCATAAGTTTCCATAATACAGAAAGGTCAAAAATAGCAAACCATTCAAAATTGTCTTACTTAAGAAGTCGTAATAACGAGATAAAAAGTCGTTATTACGACTTAAGAAAGTCGTTATTACGAGATAAAAAGTCGTTATTACGACTTAAGAAAGTCGTTATAACGAGATAAAAAGTCGTAATAACGAGATAAAAAGTCGTTATTACTACTTAAGAAAGTCGTTATTACGAGATAAAAAGTCGTTATTACGACTTAAGAAAGTCGTAATAACGAGATAAAAAGTCGTTATTACGACTTAAGAAAGTCGTAATTTCGACTGAAGAAAGTCGTAATAACGAGATAAAAAGTCGTTATTACGACTTAAGAAAGTCGTTATTACGAGATAAAAAGTCGTTATTACGAGATAAAAAGTCGTTATAACGACTTAAGAAAGTCGTAATAACGAGATAAGAACCCAGCTAACACAAAAACATTTTTAAAATGTTTTTAAAACATTTTCAAAATGTTGCGAAAACATTTTTAAAAATGTTTTTATCACGTGATTTTGTATGGTTTTTTAAACGTTTTTAAAACATTTTAGTGAAATATTTCAGCGAAATGTTGCCAGAACATTTTCTTAAAATGTTGCAAAAACATTTTCAATAATGTTTTAATCACGTGAATTTGTATGGTTTTTTAAACGTTTTTAAAACATTTTAGTGAAATATTTCAGCAAATGTTTCTGGAATATTTTTTTTAAATGTTACGAAAACATTTTAGAACAATGTTGTAATCACGTGATTTTGTATGGTTTTTTAAATGTTTTTAAAACATTTTACAAAATATTTCAACAAATGTTATCATAACATTGTTATAAAATGTAACAAAAACATTTTCAAAAATGTTTTTTCACGTTTAATCTGCTTGGTTTTTAAAACGTTTTCAAAACATTCACGTCGATGTTACAAAAGTATTTCTACTGAAATTTTACTTTTCTCATTAAATAATGATATATTTATATTTTAAAAGAAATAAACACAAATTATATTTCATTTTTGAACCTTTAATACAAACCCATTATCAATATGTTAATCACAATTAAATTCCATTCTCGGTACAAGTTTTAATTTATTTTCTTTCAAGTCACCGGGTTTTTAAAGGGTAAAAACGGCGTCTAATCCATTACAGAATCACAGAAATCCTATGTTCACACTGAATCACAGTATAGGTCGAACAGAGCGGCGGATCTATAATACTAGTTAGAATCTCATACACTGAAAAGGCTGATAAGGAATCCGCCCCTCGGAAAGAATAGCACAACCTGTAAAGATAAGAAAAATTGTGTTTGTATCAGCGTTCTACATCTAATGTATCAATGAAAATATACAAAAAATATTTCAAATAATTATATCAATTTTAAGTTCTTTCCTCATTTGCATTGAAAAAAGCAGAAAAATAATTACTATGACAATATTATTGAAGAGTAATAGCATTTACGTACACCTTTGCCTTCACCAAAGGCGGGTCTTTTGAATGTGGGAATTTGAAAATACGGATGATGCAATCAACACCATGCTGTAAAGAAATTTCATTTTTAAATCAACATATTGTTTGATGATTTTAAAACAATTCACAAAGACAACGAATACTTGAATCAAGGATATAATTGTGTTGAATTAAGAATGAAATATTCAAATCAAATACACATGATACATGTGTATAACCTTAACGCTTTGTCATTTCATAATGCTACATACATTTGTACAAAGTTATTGATCATGCACTGGTAGTATAAAAGTCATTTTTAAATGATCTTTTAAAGTCTATGATAAAGGAATATTTCTTACCATTCAAAGTTAATAAATCCCGAGGTTATTATTGTGGTTTTATGGTGCAAAGTCTTCTCATTCAAATCGGCACGGAGTAAGCGCGCACATCTTGTTTACCAGAATTCAAAATTTGGCCTAGATAAGCTGCAAACCACTATACTCTGTAACGCGCTGCCCAGCAGGAAAATTGCATAATAGGTTATCATGACACTGAAACTGACCAGTGTGCCAATCCCTATCTAATGCCTCAGAGTAAAATCGTGGGAGTGGATCACAGATTTGATGAAGAACATTTTATAAAAAAAACATTAAGAGTTTTATCAAATGCTTATGATTTTTTAGATTTATTTATATTTTAAAATTTGCGTTTGCCTATCCTTTCATTTCTTAATTTTTTGATTTGTTTTAATTAAAGGACTTTATATATGTCTGTTTAATCAATAAACCAAAACTAGAAATCATTATAAAATACCGGAAAAAATCTTTGAATTAAAAAATTACTACAATTCCTCATTTCAACACTATCCTGTCTATATATTCTTTTTTTCTTCATAAACTAAATTTTAGGAAAATCGCAATCATACATTATTTGAATGTTTTAAGAACATTTTGAAAATAACATTAAAAAATGTTGCAGCAATGAAAAATTAAGTCTTTAAAAAAGGAAAACACATTAAATTGAATGTTCTAAAATTATTCTCACAAAATACTCTTAAAGTTTATAAATGAATTAAATTGTGCCGTAATTACATAAATGTTTCAGAAACATTTTGAAAATGTTTCAAAAAAATGTTACAAAAACTATAATTAAAATGTTTCAATTGTAGTGAAAATAATTATTTTAGTAAATGTTTTAAATAAACATTTTCACTGTTTAGGCCGAAAAATATCCGGAATTTAATGTTTATAACTAAAAGCGATATTAAGAATGTTTTAAAAATATTTAAAAATGTTCCTTACAATTTTTTCAGAAACGTATAGGCAATGTTTCCGTTTTACAGAAAAAGAATGTTTCATTTCATGTTTTAAGAACGTTTTTAAAACGTTTTATAAGGTCTTTAATATTTGGAAGCTATGCATACCCTTAGAATAATTTTAAGAAAAATGTTCCTTAAATGAATTAAGAATGTTTCAAAAACATTTTGACAACGTTTCTTCCAAATGTTTCAGAAACGTATTCATGCAATGTTTCAGATTTATGGAAAAGGAATGTTTCATTTCATGTTTTTAGAACGTTTTTAAAACGTAATATAAAAATCTTTGATATTTGAAAGCTAAACATACCTTTTGAAACACTTTTAAAATGTTTCGAAAATATTTTAGAAAAATGTTCCAAAAGGATTTAATCATAAGCTTCTTGAAAACATTTTAAAAATGTTTTTAAAATGTTATAAAGAGAAGAGAAAATGTTTTTAAAATGTTTTTAAAATGTTTAGTCTGAAATGTTTCGAAAAAACCTTTTTACAACACCAATAAAATGTTTTGAAAATGTTTTGTGCTACCTGGGAAGTCGTTATTACGACTTAATTTTTTTTTCTTCATTTTCTAATTTGACCCTTGTAGGCTTTCGTACCCTTTCGACAATTTACGAAAGCATTAATTATTATACCCCCCCCCCCCCCCGCTTAAAAAGTGGGAGAGTATACTGTAATCGGTATTTCCGTCTGTCCCTCCGTCCGTCTGTCTGTTACGCTTTGGAGTACCCATCTCTTATCCGCAACTCCTCTTATACAACTTAGTGTGAAATTTAATGAAACTTTCACGAATCTTTATTACATAATGCCATTGTAACCTCCTATTTTACTTTTTGATCCGACACATATTTTTGGTTTCCCGGCAACAGCAAAACATGGACTGGAGGCGGAGGGTATCATTTAGTGAGCACATTGCTCACAGTACATCTAGTTTTATTTTCATAGTCACTGCTCTTATTTCACAAATCAATAAGTTAACTTTTAAAAGTATATATAATATATAATTTCACGTGAAGATGTCGATTTTTTTATACCTTGCTGTTGTTATTTCATAAGAAGGTGCTTTATCATGTTATGATGTTTTTATTCCATGTGGAGATGTTTTTTCCTGTGAAGGTTTTTTTTCATGTGAATGCAATTATTTGCCTCCAGCCTATACAAAGAAAAATAAATAAAAAATGAAACTCACCAAACTTATATGTGTAAAACTGTCCGGTTCACCGGGGTATAGTGGTATTTTTTAAATGTGTTAATATTGAACGATTTTTACGAAAGCCCAGAAGGCTCATTCGAGATCCGAGTTTCCAAATACGAGATTCGAAATTCGAGTTTCAAAATTCGAAATTCGAGATTCAAAATTCGAGTTTCGAGATTCAAGATCCAAACGAACCAATCAAAAGCGGGTTCAACATTTGATTACTCCCCTTTATTATGTTTTTACTATCAAGAAATAATTCAATATAATTATATCAAATGGGTCATTTGATTAAATTACAATGCAAGAAAAAGTGTTATATACATTAGACGTAAATTTAAATAATTAATGGATTTTTGATCAGCAAAAAATATATCAATTTATATTATAGATTCTTAAATATTAAATATATTACATATATCAGGAGTATATATATTTTTGTATCGCCAACTAATTACCGGCCAGGAGGCGGTCGGCTCTATGATATGAAAGTTCGAAGTCGCTGTGCGTTTCTGCGGAGTTAAAACAATTTAAATAAAAAATATTTAACATTAATATAGTAGTATATTAAAAAGAGCGTCTTAAGGTTAAATAAGAACGCACCATAAACATAAAATTAAAAATTCTTACGAAGAATGAGGTAAATATTTCATCCAATCCTATTTATGAACTTAGACATGTTTGAGGTGCGGAGAAAATTAGGACATGTGTTGGGCGTAGTCTAAAGCAAAGACCGCGTTATGTATATTACGCAATTTTACTTTCTCTATTCAAACGGGATTTGTTGTACGTATTTATTTCAAAATGACGTGTACATATGTACATATATAAACATTTTGAAACATATGTTTAAATGTTAATTCATTAAAAGACTTAGCAGGCTACAGAATATTACAAGATTTGGCCCTTAGCAGACGAGGATAATGCACGTTTTACAATGTGCCAAGAATTTTCCCGCTACAACTCAAAGAGAAGAAATGTAGTGGCGGATCTAGAGGGACCATAAAAGGAACAAATTGGTTTGCGGCCGATTTTTGACGCTTGCGTCAATATATGTTTCTTGTCTTAATTTTTAGAAAAACACAGGTACGTGTGGACAAGACCCCCCCACCCCCATCCCCTTGATATTGAACCCCAGGGCTTATTTCTCTGTTATGTGTAACCTTACAATACGAAAAAATCGCTGGCGTAAAACCCCCAGAATAATCGCTCAACCAAAAAAAAAAAAAAAAAAAAAAAAAAACCAAAACAAAACAAAAAAAACACAATTTATTACCCCACTTTACAAGAAAGAATGCTGTTTACGGAGAAAATGTGGGATTATTACGTGATGCAGAGTCAGTCCGATAGCATGGACTAAGACAGAAATACATTGTATATTTAGAGACAGTGCAGTGGCGGATCCAGAGGGGGGGTTACGGGGGTTGCAACCCCCCCCCCCTTTGGATTTGCAATTTAAGAGAAAGAGAAATAAGAAAGTCCCAATTTTTTCGTTGTGTTTTTACTATAGGAAATGTAAGGTGAAAGGCTAATGTTGTATTATATAAAGAAATTCGGTTGTAAAAACAAAATAAAAACCCTCCCTTTACAAAATAGGATTTTCAGGTTCGGAGATTTATTTTCCTTTCTTTTTCAAAAACTTTCTGGTAATGTATACAAGTACTTTTTCCCAGATTGATCAACGTCCCACTTTCAAAAACCATACTCCACCCTGTATCGATATTCTATTGAGTTATTTAACTATATGTATGTGTACAACGTACGTTTTAACTGTTTTCGCCTTCAACCCCCGCTTTTGAAAAATACTTCAACCCCCCCCCCCCACCCCCTTTGAAAAATTTCTGGATCTGCGCCTGCAGTGTGAATCGACATTTAAAGTTAAAACAAAATAAATGCATCTAATACCAGAGTGGGTACAACGTAAACAGACTGGAGTGGCATATCTTTCTCTTATAATGTATAGTGGGTATTTGGGGGGGGGGGGTGTTGAGCGATTATTCTGGGGATTTTACATTTTTTTGTTATTGTATACATGATGAATAAGTTGAATAAATATATCTTATGAAAAAAAAATTCCAAGAAGCCCTTGGGTTGAATATAAAGAAAGTGTGCGGGGGGGGGGGGGGGGGTCCCACCCACAAGTACCTGTAGTTTTCCTAACAGAAATTCATAAAAATGACGCTTAGTAGACAATTCAAACATGTATATACTCCTGATATATGAAATCTGTTTAATATTTAGGAATCTATAATATAAATTAAAATATTTTTTGCTGATCAAAATTTCATTAATTATTTAAATTTCCTTCTAATATATATAACACTTTTTCTTGCATTGTAATTTAATCAAATGAACCATTTGATATAATTATATTGAACTATTTCTTGATAGTAAAAACATAATAAAGGGAAGTAATCAAATGTTGAACCCGCTTTTGATTGGTTCGTTTGGATCTTGAATCTCGAAACTCGAATTTTGAATCTCGAATTTCGAATTTTGAATCTCGAATTTCGAATCTCGTATTTGGAAACTCGAATCTCGAATGAGCCTTCTGGGCTTTCGTAGATTTTTCAAAAGATTTACGTTATAAAGTTTATTTCAGATACACCTATATGGAGGGAAAACATGATATACAAGGACATCATCCAAAATAGAAGTTTCAATTGTTAAAAGAGAAACTATCAATTGCGTATTAGAATGATCTTGATTGCATTGACTATTTGTTTTACTTTAATTTTAAAAGTTTTTATCAATACAGTTATTGACTGGATATTAGGGCAAGATATGATTTGTTGGACCTGAAAGTGAAAGTCTGCCCAAGGTCGCACGCTAAGAGCAACATTTCCACATTCAGATCAAAGAAATCATATGTTGCCCTCATACCCATTCCTAGTATAAATGTTTTGTTATGCCCTTCACTTAAGGTTTGATCAATACACAGTGTTTTATCAATTATTTTAAATGAAAAATAGTGACTTGATGATTAAAATTAAAACACAAGTCAATTACTTTAAATGGAAAATAGTGACTTAATAATTAAAAATAAAACACAAGCCGAGAAAGAGAGAAATGATTATAAAGCAAAACTTTTTTATCACAAACATGCTAGT